TTTTTTTTTTTTTTTTTTTTTTTTTTTTCACAATCTGTGGGGAATTATGGCGGTGGTGCTCCTGCGCAACCAAATGGGCCGATAGCCCAGGTGTGGTTTCTCTTTTAAGTATTTCGTTTTCCTTTTTTTTTTTTTCAAGTTAATAATTATAATTGAATTACGTTTTGTTTGAAATTGTTATATAGTATAAAGGGAAATGGTTTTTGTATAATTTTTTTATTTTATTTTTTTTATAATTCGACATGTTATTTAAATGATTAATTTTTTTAATTCATATAGGATTCGTAATTTTGAATGTATTTATTTATTTAATGATATGTAAAAATTATATAAAAAAATAATATAAAAAATTGTTTCTATAGCACTACTCTAGTATAAAAAGGTGTTGTTTCTAAATCACACAATTTAAATGATTGAACAAGGCAAGTCTCCAAAAATGGGACTGCAATTTTTCATCTAAAAATTCATGTTTTGAAGCGTGGGTTATAAACCATGACATACACATGATATTGTAAATGCATTAAATTATTTTAGATTGTATTATCATAAAATTATGTGAAGTAATGTTTGGATTCAAAAAAATAGAGCAATGAATGTTTAAACTAATCAAATTATTACATTGACCAAATTTCTAATTATCAACAAAATTAAGTCTATTTTGAAATTAAAAAACTTTTATCCTCATTTTCATTATATTTTGTAGGATAAACTTTTATATCATCTTTGTGCATTTTCTTTTTGTAGGGAATTTTTTTAAAATATATGGGGTAAAACAACAACAGTAAAGTTTCGGGCAGAAAAAATCTCTAGAAACTACTGACAACTACACATTGGCAGCTTCTTTGTGCTACACTTTGCCATTTCTATTCATAGCAATCTGTCATATTTTTGACTCTTTTTTTTTTTACAAGAGTTTTTTATTTTATAATTTGAATAGTATTAAATTATAAAATAAAAATTATTATATTAGATGTAATTTTTATTTAATAGTTTAAATTATATAGTCTAAATTATGTAATATTTTTTTATTTTATAAATTATGAATCTTAAAATAATTTATGTATTCGCATGTATTATTCTTAATAAAAGGATAATCACTAATTTATCTTCGAATAATAGTTAATTTTTTTTTAATTTTTAAATTAATAGTATGTTTGGTTTGAGACGTATGGAAGGAAGAGTTTGGAGAGATGAAAATTTTTTTATCAATCAAATTATAATATTTTTAAATATAACAATTTGATTAGTAAAAAAATCCCTTCCTCCCCTCCATTCCCCTTAAACTAAATAAATTATAAAGGTCTGAGAACAATTTAGATTTTTACCTATATTACTTTTAATAAAGAGACAAAAGATAAAAAAAAAAAGACTTCTTTTAATAAGATTAATAATTAAAGTTAAGAAATAATGTGATAAGGTTAAATAAAAAAATATTTACCTTGTTTAAATTAAAAAAAGAATTAATTTAAAACAAATTTTAAGTAAAAACATTAAAAAAGGGTTAAAGTGAAAAAAAAAAAATCTCTTTAAGATAAATTTTGAGTAAAATAACTAGTGCTTTTGGAATTGTGGAAGTATTTCTCATAGTCTCCCACCAAAATTTGAAAAGAGAAAACTATTTTATAAGATGAATAGCATGTAATTTATTTTATAAAATTATTTAAATATATTTAATTTTATTTTTATATTTTTTATTAAAAATATTTAAATAATTTTATATGACGAATTATATGTAATTTATGCCGTAAAACAGATTTCCCATCTAGAAAGGGAGCCAAAACTTTGGAACTATTCCGCCTAAAACACCAAATTCTCATTGGTTGCTTTTGAAGTACACGCGGATCCTGACTCTTAACATCCCTGAACCGTCCATAACACTTTTAGTCAATGGTCCAGATTAATCTAATTAAATCTTTTCAAAAAACACAAATATCTCCCTTCTTCCCGCTCTCTGCCTCTCTCCAAAGGTCCCCTCGCATAAATTTGACCAAATCCATCGCCAATTCCCACAACGCTTTTTCCTTGCAAGCCAAGCTCAGATTTCCTTTTCTTGATTTTTCTTTATCAAATGGCTCGCACGAAGCAGACCGCCAGGAAATCCACCGGAGGCAAGGCTCCTCGGAAGCAGCTTGCGACGAAGGCTGCTCGCAAATCGGCTCCTGCAACCGGAGGAGTGAAGAAGCCGCATCGTTTCAGGCCTGGAACCGTGGCTCTGAGAGAAATCAGGAAGTATCAGAAGAGTACGGAGCTCTTGATCCGAAAGCTTCCCTTCCAGAGGCTGGTGAGGGAGATCGCTCAAGATTTCAAAACGGATCTCAGGTTTCAAAGCAGCGCTGTTGCTGCTCTTCAAGAAGCCGCTGAGGCATATCTTGTTGGACTGTTTGAGGATACTAATCTCTGCGCAATTCATGCTAAGAGGGTCACAATTATGCCAAAGGATATCCAGCTTGCTAGGAGGATTAGAGGGGAGAGAGCATAGAGCTTCACTCGATTAATGTCTAGACATTAGACATGGATATATCTGAATTTTGTTCTTTTCAGTTTCTAGAACTCTCTTTCCATTTTCAAGTAATGGCGTTGTAAATCTTTTTGATTAACTTCTAGATCTTAGCTTAATACTAATTTGGATTTGAATTTTCTGAATTTAAAGTGCAAAATTAATTTTCTACAACCTTAATATGCTCCATCAACATTAACTAAGCAAAATGGAGCTATGGAGATTATTGCTAAGCTTGATGCTAGTTGTTGTTATAAGGTCTCTAATGGTTGAGAAACTAGGAAGGTGTGGTTTACTAATCTAAAGAACTTGGTTAATCGGGATGCAAATTGTGAGTTGGATTCAGTCCTTGGGGTATTTAATGGCTTTGCTTATGCCAAGAATTGGAGTGTTTCGATGGAGTCTTCAGTTTATTATGTTAGTGTTGAGAACTTGGATATTTATGATTATGCTAAATGTGATGCTTGTTTGAACCTGTTCCTTTTTGCTTTGCTGCTGTGTTTGGACTTGGCCACTTGTACCAACTTGCTGAGGAATTAAAGGACTTGAAGGTGCCAATGCAAATGGATTATGAGTTTGTGTTGGCAGGAAGAACTCTACAGTCTAGGGGTTTAGTGGTTGTTCCACATCAGCCCTGGGGAGCCTTGTTAACTAAAATGGAAGTGGAACAGGGGTTTGGGCCTCCCTTGTTGCTGGTCAGGGTGAAAAATTCTAACAATCTAGGTTCTATTATTAGCTGTTCTTGCTCTAGCTGTTCTTGCTCTCCTAGTCATCATTTATGCTATGTTCCCTGTATTGTCTTTTAGTGTAATGACTGCTTGGAGATTAAGGTGCAGAAGAATTCCGTCTTTGGAATTTGGGAGTTTTGCAACCTTCACGGTTTGGTGGAGTCTGGATATTGGGCTTCCATATCTGTATTGTTTCATCTACGGGCTTCAACTCTGCCAAGCACGGATGGTTCTTGCTTCTTTATTTCTAAGGAAAGCAAAGGCGCTTGTCCGGGATCTTTTGATTTCTCTCCTGGTTCTGTTGGTATGGTCTTCTATTCTGGTTCAATTGGTGTAGGAATTGTGACTGATGCAGTGAGATTAGCAAGTAATTGCAGCTGTCTCTTAGCATTTCTGCTGGATTTTTCTATTTCTTTTTTTTTTTTTTCTAATTTTAAGAGTTGATTTTAACTTTAGAGTAGGGTTATAAATGAGTTGAATTATTCTTTCGATTACTTTATTTGAATTTAAATTTAAATTTAAATTTGTGAATTATGAGTTAAGTTTATGAGTAAAGTTTAAATTTAATATATTTAATTTAGTAAAATTTAAAGTCTTATTCAAATTGTTATTATAATATTAGATTTAAGTTTAAAATTTTAAAAATTTCACTCAATTTATTTATTACTCTTAAAGTAAATTTTTGATCAAGTTAAAAGGCTGCTTGGACATGGAAAAGAGTCAAAAGACGAAAGAGCACACCGCCTTCTCTTTACTTTATCATGGTGACTGGCTGCTGATTGGGTCTCCGAGTGGTCATATTTTGCAATTTCTCTGTTTTTCTTTACAATTTCATTTTGGCGCTGGTTTGTTTCTTCGGGGTGCATTTGCCGGTGTTGTATTTTTTGGATGAATTAATTGTGGCGCTAGAGGGATCATGTGGGCGTGCCGGAGTGGTTATCGGGCATGACTAGAAATCATGTGGGCTCTGCCCGCGCAGGTTCTTTTTGGATGAATTAATTGTGGCGCTAGAAGGATCATGTGGGCGTGCCGGAGTGGTTATCGGGCATGACTAGAAATCATGTGGGCTTTGCCCGCGCAGGTTCGAATCCTGCCGCTCACGTTTTCTATGGTTGTGTAGCTTAGGCTTCTTATTGGAAGCCCAACTAAGTTTTTTGGGCCTTTAGAGCCCAACTCACCATAAAATTGTAGTTTTGACTACGACTGGGAGTCTAAGAAAAAGAAACCAAAGCGGTATGCTGTAAATGAGTTTGAGTTTCTTCTGTTGAATTTTAGTTGATTTAATTTTTAATTTAGGCTATTTAAATTTATAAGT